AACACTCATTGAAAACAACTTAAACAACTAGAGAAAGCCATTACTTTGGCAACTGTCTGGTAACCATAAGTTCAGTAAAACATGTTACTACTTGCCCAACCCAATACGAAAAATATCCTTGTCCTGAGAACATGGCGTTAAGAACGTTCATGATATATTTCTAGAGTGTGTTTATTGTTTACAAATAATTCAAAACACGATTACTTTGGAATTTTAGTTTAGGACAGAATTCACAACTAGCATTTAATAAGAATTGAACTAGGTATTTGAACTCAGCATACAAAACCACGAATTCAAACAGTTTTGATTCAAAAACACAGTTTTTGATATACAGTGGGTACGGAAAGTATTCAGACCCCCTTCAATTTTTCACTCTTTGTTATATTGCAGCCATTTGCTAAAATCATTTGTTAATTTTTTTTATCTGCAAAAATGTCAACAATTCTGTGTTTTTCTGTCAATATGGGGTGCTGTGTGTACATTAATGAGGAAAAAAAATTAACTTAAATGATTTTAGCAAATGGCTGCAATATAACAAAGAGTGAAAAATTTAAGGGGGTCTGAATACTTTCCGTACCCACTGTATATAGCCTTGTGACAACCTTTCCATGTAACAACTAGGCCCGGTTTAAGTGTATATTTTTGGCCAGTTTTAGTTATTTAACATATTTATTCACGTATTTTAAACGCGATAGTTTTTTAAAACTACTATTCTAGCCACTTGGGCCATTACACGGAATGTATAAAATGGATACAAGTATACTAAATATTTTAGATGTGTATCAAATCACACTTCAAGGCTATCATTGCTTTAAAAAGTTTGGTCTCAAGTACATTTTTGTTCAGCGAGTCAAATGCTACAATGTATCCGCGATGACAAACTTTTAACCGAACTAGGTTATCACGAACACAGTCATTAAAGTTAACTCGAACAATCAACTTAAATGATCAAAACTCATCTTACCTTTATATTTACAACATCCAACTGAAATAAAATGGCAAACTGTCGTAGAACCAAAATCAAGAGAGTCTGAGCGACATGCTAAAGCTACTACGTTTCCAATGCTTTACTTTCAGTTTCAGCCTCTCAAGCCTTTCAATTTAAACAGGAAGTGACATAAGGACGTGTTCACAAATGTGTTATATATAATAATTGTGGGGGTTACCCTCGAGTTATTGTGAAGAAATACAGTTTGGCTTTAAGAAAAACATAAATAAGAGTGTATATTTTTAAGTAGGCTATATTTTATGTGTATCGTTATGAACAGTGCTTCAGATAAAAAAAAAAATAAAAAAAAAATTTCTAAAAATATAAATAAATAAAAGTTATATAAAAAGTCAAGGCTCTAATACTTATTTTTAGATAATACTTAGGTATTTTTATATGGACAAATATTATGTGCAATATTTCTTTATCACTGCAAAGGTTTATAAATTGCTGTCTAGTCATCCAGACGAGCCAAATAATCTTACAGTACATACAAAAACAGAGCATAAAGTCATTATACCAAGGCACTATTAGAAGAAAACTTTTATTTTCAATCTCTGCTACATCAGACACTTGGTTAGTGTTTGTTATTCCTATGGAAAGTTTTGTGAGTCTTTACGGGACTTTCCTGGAGGACTTTGAGATGCAAAGGGTGCAAAGAAGTCATGAGCAAAGGAGAAGACATCTTGAGGTTTCCTCAACAGCAGGAATTGCAGGAAGTCTGCCAATAAAGCCTTTAGCTCAGGGTGTTGTCTGACGTAGGAGGAGTAGTCTGCTTTGAGTTCCTCCTGTGTCATGAACGAGTGGAAATGAGTCACAAATTTGCTTATTTGTCGAGTGACCTTTATGCTATGTGGTTCTTTGTTTGAAATTCATAAAAATAAAAAATAAAAATGTGTTCCATGTAGAAATTAATTATTGAGTCTTGAGTTTTAATATGATCAATATATTTTCCAATATCCTTGAGTAATATATGACATCAATTAAAAGCTCATTAAAAGTAATAGACACCTTTCTGTCAAGAAACTTTGAGTAAAGCTCCATGTCTTCCTCCCAAATGAGTGGCTTCTTCTCAAACACAGGAATCTGGTCTTTCTCCACTGAAAATAAAAGCAAAACCTTTTTACTTTTACTTTATTTTTGACTGTAAAGACTGATTCCGGTCACAAAGGAGCGGAATGCAAAGTGATAAAGTCATCAAACCTCCATCAAGCAAGAAAGGCAAATGCAGGAGCTTCATAATTGCAGGTGAGCCCAACTGCACTCTGCTTGCTAGATGCCTAAGTGTAAAATATTTTAGGAAAAGTTAATGTTCAAAACTCTGAATATACATAATTTTTTTCATATAGGTGTTTGTTATAAAGCAATGAAACATCAAGTTGAAAAAAAAAACTTGTTATATATACCATATATGGCATATATGTTTGAAAGACGTTAATCAATCTACCATCAATCTACCGTCCATATTTACACAGTGTCTACACCAGACGTGACCGTTTCACTTGCATCGCAACAGCTAGAGGTTGTCTTCACTGGAAGCAACAAAGCGAACACTGTGAAACATTTGACCTTTGTGTCAGTATGTTATAAAAACAATGAGTCATTATTTTACTGTCTTGAGATTTGTCACTTCCGTGATGCCACTCGCTTCCAGTGTAGACACATTGTTATGAGAAACAGATAAGATAAGTTTTGCCTTCTAGCAAAAAAATGAAGAGAGTATTCTACCCATCAGGCAAGAAATAGCAATGCCAAGTTCCTGAAGAGTCCTTTGCAGAAGAGACAGTCCTTTCAATCCCAAAGATATCGACTAACTCTTCCCCAATCATCTGCTTCTTGCACCCAAGTGCTCTCTAAAGCAAACAAGTGCATCAGTCACATGAAAGAATAATAAAAAGCACATCATCTACTATCATGGATCTACTGTTCACATCGATTTTTAAATAACATCCAAGGGCTGAAATATAAGCAATTATCCCCCTGCACTTACATAAACTGACTTGGAAAGCACAGTATCTGCATCAAATGACAGGAATGTCATGTTTTCTGGAACAGTCTTCTGCCGAGACAGTATACGCAGAATCATTAAGTTGGATGCTTCAGACACAAAACCCTTTAGAGAACTCAGTGGAAATGTGTGGGTTTGTGTCTTCACTCCCTAAGGAATGAAAGATGCGACTTTCTCATTATTGACACAAACTGTCAGTAAAATGTTCAATAATAATTAATTATTATGTATTTTATTTTATTTATTTTATCAATAATTAATCACCTGAATTTCAATTCATGTGGAACACATGGTCAGACACTAATGTATGCATTAATGTGCATTTCATTTTTTTTTGGCACAAATGGTAATAAATTTATTCAACACTTACCTCTTTCTCTGAGATGATTCGGTTTACCACTAGCTGATCATCCTGTTTAACAATATGTACTTTCCGGTCCACAGTCTGCTTTTCTAACTGGAATATTTACAGCACCTCAGATTTGGGTGGCTTTACATTGCAATTTTGATTATGACATTCATTATTTCTATAGTATTAAATAGAATCTGTTGGTTAACAAGTATTGATATAAAGAGAACCTACCCTATGCTTTTCATAAACTATGCTTTATGTCAATAGAAAAGATACCTTTACATATTCATGATGATTCTCTTCCAGTATCTCAAGATTTCTCGATATGTAGGCTGGTAAAATCACAAAGGAACAAATACAGGGTTTAACATTTTTTAAGAAATGACTGAGATGACACAGATGTAATTTGTGTTCTAACCAAGAAATTATAAAGAGAAGGAAATAGTCATTATAAAATGTAAGCTGACCTATAATGGATGTACCACAAGGAATGTCATCAATCGTTCCATGACTGTTGGCATGGAGCAGATAACATAGCTCCTCATTGTAGCTCGCCTTGGTGACACTCACAGAGAAGTCTCCCAGCTCCCGGCCCGAATCTGACACAGTCACAAGTGAATCTGCGAACAAACACTGGTCCAGATCCGTGGGTGCTGCAAATGACAGCAGAAGAGGCTTGCAGTCCTAAGTCCTAACTGGTATCATATACTGTTAGTCTTGACTGAGGATTCATTTACGGTGATTACCGCTTTAAGGATCTGAAAGGGCTTCTGAATAAACATTCAGCACATTTAATGTAAAGGCACATTTATGTAGTTGTCAGTGCTTCATGCTTTATCACAAATAAGTTAACATGGAAAATCAGCTGTTCAAATTACATATTAAATAGAAACAAAATAATAGTACAATGCAACTTAATGAATGTGAGGGTAATTACAGTTTACACATTGGATGCCATGAACAGATGGTCCCTGACCCTAAAATAGCATCTTTGACAGGCAAACTTTAGAAGTGACGTCACTTACTAAATCATAATCATGTTTAATGACTTACCAATGCTGTAAATAAACTCCACTGCATTAACCGAAGCTTTTAATTCTTCTGTTTCATTCTGTGTTGATTCACTGTCCTCCATGTGTGTCTTAGAAAGTCCAGATAAAACAAGAGACATTTACAATAGTTCAAAACATTGCATATATATTTATATTGCATGGATCTTTGAGATCGTAGCAGTTGAAGATTTATTTATACTATGCGCGTCTTTTTTTCTTTTTAAGTTACCTGGATTGTATACTGAGTTTCAACCTGGTTTCAACCGTTCAGTCTTCAGCAGATGTCAAACAAAAAGGAGCTACTTTGCTAATGCTTTTAAAAATATCTAAATAAACAATCAACAGACTTACTTTAAAATTACTTAAATATTACAGGAAATAGTACAAACTACTAACAGCGTCTACATGAAGCCTTTAACTCGTTTTTTATACGGTCTAGATGTGTTTTTTGTTCACGTCTCAAACTTATTAGCATCTCTGGTTTCCTTAGTAACGCTGTTGTCAACATCTACCGTAAACCTTCTAGTAGTCGCGCCACATTTTTCACAGGTATTCAATACAGACACATATTTGTTTATAATTCATAGGTTTATTATGACAAACCTTTCATAAATATCAGTGCTTATTGTACCCTAAGTATTCAAAACGGATTAAACGTCATTGTAAATGGGATTCACTGCACATCTCCAAAACACAGAGTGAAGGGTGAGGAAAAACACCTGCTTTTTAGCATGCCAGGAAAGCTTGTTTAAAAAAAAACATTAAAAAAAAAAAGGAAAAGTTCAGACAATGCCTTTCAAAGTCTACCACATTCTTAAAGTTCAAATAAATCTGTTTTTGTATACAAAATAATGCCCAGGTCTACTTCAATTTTGTCTTTCAGGTCACGGTTCAAATTCACATTAGTGCTTTTTTAATCCAGCACAGTAATAATACATAGGGAGCAGTACATGTTTAGCTTGGAATGGTTTCAGTGGTTGCAGCTTTCAAACGTCAGTGGACGAAAGCCTTATCGGTCCTTATAAATGTCCTTCCGTCTACGCAGTTCCTCTAGAACACGGGCGCGATATGACGTCCAGTCCTCGTCCTGCTTCTGCTGCAGACCCAGGGCCCGGTGGAGATCCTGGGAGTGGCTCCGCAGGAAGGGATTGTATTGCTTCTCCTCTGCTAGGGTGGATGGACACTGTATGAAGAGGAGAGAGAATGACTTTAAATCAAGCTTGGCTGGTAAGAATATTATTTAGAAGATTTAGAGTAATATTAGGTGTCTAGAGATGTAACAATTATTTTGGAATTTTTTAATATTAGGACTTTTGTCCATAGAATTCCTGTCTTCCTTACTGTGCAAAGTCTCTGACCCCTCTGTTGCAGTACCCACAGCAACTTCTGCTTCTGTACAACATTGCAAGGCTCCACTTCAGCAGCAAACAGCAGGTTATCTTCAGCATACTCATGTCCTGAAAAAAAAGACCTACTTTATTAACATAATCATGAAGCTTTTCCTTAGAAACACACCCAAATCTCAGTAAAAAAAAAAAAACATAAAACCAAAAAAAGTTGTATACAAAAACTAAAAATGACAAAGACTTGTCACACTGCAATTAACCCTTGCAATCACCTCTGGGTTAAAAACACTTTTAATATAGGGTTAAAGGAATAGTCCACCCAAAAATGAAAAGTTTGTCATCATTTACTCACCCTCATGTATGATTGTTTTTTTCTTTTGCAGAACACAAAATAATTTTTTTTTGAAGAACGTTGGTAACTAAACAGTTTTGGTTCCCACTGACTTAGTAAAAAAAAAAAACATAAAACCAAAAAAAGTTGTATACAAAAACTAAAAATGACAAAGACTTGTCACATTGCAATTAACCCTTGCAATCACCTCTGGGTTAAAAACACTTTTAATATAGGGTTAAAGGAATAGTCCACCCAAAAATGAAAAGTTTGTCATCATTTACTCACCCTCATGTATGATTGTTTTTTTCTTTTGCAGAACACAAAATAATTTTTTTTTGAAGAACGTTGGTAACTAAACAGTTTTGGTTCCCACTGACTTTCGCTGTATGGATGAAAAGCACAATGGAAGTCAATGGGAACCAAATTATTTGGTTATCAACATTATTCAAATTATCTTCTTTAGTGTTAAGCAGAAGAAAGAAAGTCATATGATGACAATTTTCCTTTTTGGGTGGACTTTTACCTTTTAAGCTATATTTTTACAATGCCGTGACAGAATGCCACAGAGAGTTTTTTGGGAACCAATCATAAATACATTAATAATGAATTAATACATTTTGTATAGTTGTCATGCATTGTGTTAGTTTCAGTGCCTGAGGGAAACAGTTTCAAAATTTCCATCAAAAGTTTCAACTGAAGTCATGAAGAGACAAATACAATCCCATGGTGTTCTGTACTCGCTGATAAATGTCACTACTTGACTATCCAGGATTTATTACTATTCCAGTGTGAAGTATAAACACAGTAACTGGATAAAACTCTGGTTACAACTTAAAGTGTGAAAAGCCCATACAAAAAGTGTTTCCTTACCAGGCCAAAGCAGAGTATCATCGTTCAGCGATCCCACTGTATCCAGAGATGACAGCATAGTTGAGGCATTACCCTCAAACATTCTCCCTACAAGGGATGGAAATGAGTCAGAGCTTTAAATAGAGTAAGCTGGATTTAAGAATGCTGAATTCTTGTTTGCAGTTTTGGCATGCCTTTCTGGGCATTGATACTGGATAAATAGTCATTTAAATTATTGTAATGTATACACACAATGTCAAACACTGCAGGCAGGTAACAATGACACTACAAATAAACAAAATGATATAATGACTTTTTAAGTGCACACTGAGATAACACAATGATTAATGCCGTACTCACCACATCCAGAGAGGAATACCAGGTCCCCTGAAAACAAGCTGCTGGGGCCACCTAACGCTCGGCCATCAGGCAAGTAGATAATGTGACCCACTGTGTGGCCAGGGGTATAGAAGGCCCTGAAGCGCAGCCGAGTTCCAAAATCTATTGTGTCTTGGTCTGAAAGGGGGCTAAACAATAAAGAAAATCAAATTAAGTGGTCTGTTTCATGCTCTTAAGTAATGCTTAATTGTTATATCATATACAGTAAGAATAGGTTTAGTTTAGCTGAGTTTGAAAACATCCGACGTAATCTCTCAAACAAACACTTTTGTATTTTTAGACGTTCAAATGTTTTTATATTCTAACACATTTTGGATACATTTAAAGGAATAGTTCAGCCTAAAAGGAAAATTCTGTCTTCGTTCATTCATCCTTATGTCGTTCCGAACCTTTATGCATTATTCTGTGGAACACAAAAGAAGATATTTTGAAAGATTTTATAATGGTTGTTTTGGACTTCACTGACTTTGACTGTATGCACAAAAACAGTTGAAACATTCTTCAAAATATATTCTTTTGTGACCCCAGAATAAATAAAGTCATATAGGTTTGAAACGACATGCGGGTGGTAAATATAAATGACAGAATATTCATTTTTAGAACTATCCATTTTACAGTTAAAATTATACATGACGGAACAGCAGAAGATATTTAAAGGTACTGACTGTGTAAGGCCTGGAATGTTGTCCATGGCGTTCCCATACACTCGACAGGACCTGTAGCGTCTCTTTAGAGCCCTGTTCCCTCCACTGTGGTCCCTGGTTGGGAAAAGTGTATATATGAAGTATAGTTTGATTTCATTTTGATTCTGTTCAATTCACCCAAAAATTAAAACTCTAGCATTATTTACTTACAAGCCTACAAGACTTCGTTCATCAAGATATTTTTTTATATTCTTTCATCATTTTTGTCCATCCATTGAAAGTCGATGCAACCAACTTTTTCAAGCTTTAAAAAGTGCATCAAGACATATTTAAAGTAATCCTTAAGAACTGAGCAGTTTAAGCCAAATATTCCAGAATGAATGTGCACTGGTCGATGTTCATGTAAGGGATAATCAACGGTTAGCCATGCATTAAAGGATTTTAAATGCATGACGTGGACGAAGTGCATTTAAAATCCTTTAATGCACGGCTAGCCGTTGATTATCCCGCTTATTCCATGGTCGTTTGCCAAGTTATAGACAAGTTAAAACTAGTATTGCTCTTTGCAGCACAATATTTGACCGAATGGGTAAAAATGAGTTATTTTCGTCAGTTACGGCACATTAGCTCTAGCATTCTGCCCGCTTCAAATCATACACAGAGATTAAATAGTGCGGTAAGACCACATTTATTTGAATGAATTATAGCATGTATTTCAATTGATTATCGATCGAACGTTTGAGAGAGAGAGAGAGAGAGAGAGAGAGAGAGAGAGAGAGATGATCAAGAGAGAGAGAGAGAGAGAGAGATGACATTTGTGTGAGCCTACCTGCATCTGCGCATCTCTCTAAACAAACTGTACTTCAAATCAGCGATTTTACCACCTCCTTGCTGAGGAATATAATGTAGCGATCTAGTATCTAAGCTATTTTATTAATGAAGATCACGGGGAAGCGTTAACAACAAGTTTATGTGTGTTTGCAGCGCAATCAGCGATCTCTCTCTCTCTGTGTGTGTGTGTGTGTGTGTGTGTGTGTGTTTGCGAGTGATGCGTGTTGGTTAGTGTGCATCAATTAAGCAGCGCATTACTATAGAACGGTGATTAAACTGACTTGGAACTACCTGTGCATTAAACGGGTTTACTGCATACCTGCCAGCCAATCAGAATCCAGTATTCAGACAGACCATGGAATAAATACATATAACTGCCCAGGAATGCAATACATCTTGCTTCTTCTTATGCAGCTATGCAGGTTATCCAAAATCTAATTTAAATGTGGAAATAAATAGATATTGGAAAATTATTTTGTACTTTTACCCACTTTTCATTCAAAATCCTATTAATTTGTACAAACTGTACTATATTAGAAAATCCTACATCAGGCTGAGGGTCAGCGGGATCAACCACAACAGCCATATTTGATGCAGTGTCAATGACCACATAGCTGTAATTGTCTGATAAGATGGGCACTGGTATGATCTTGATGCCTGTTGAAAGTAATAGAGTCTGACTTTAGTTATTGATAATCAACTGTTGAGTGTAAGATGGAAAAGGTGTTTCTGCTCACCGTTTATTATAGTAGGCTGAGTTCTGGAGTGGCCGGCAGGGTACCTCTCCCGTGCTTTCCTCATCTGCCTCTTATGAAATATGTACCCGAGTTTGGTCCGTGTATATAGAGAATACCTGCAAGTGGTTTTAAAGAGGACACCTGGGTGTTTTATGCCATTTTGTATGTCCCTCTATGAAATTGTTCCCCCATGGCATTGCAATAATAACTATTGTAACTATGATATTTGGGTAGACATGCTGTAGATTCAATCTAAATAATCAATTAGGTGAGTAAAAGAATCCATTTAATTTTTATTCCAACTACTAATAGTTTCTAACTGTTTAGGCTATTGTTTTTCATAACAAATACTCACGTTTAGTTTAGAGAAACCTAACTTCATTAATCTAACCATGGCGTTGACGAGCCCCAAAACCGAAAATTACATTTAATCTGTACATTTTCATTAGGGACACACATCATTGACAGTTATTAAATGACAAATCAGTGCCCTTCTTCAAAGTAAACATTTGCTACGTCTACAGAGGTAAAACGTATATTTTTCAATAACACGTACAAAACGGTTCATGTAAACATCATATACGGAAACGTTAGGTGAGGATAAAAACCAGTAGCTATTGTATCAGGACAGACAAGCCACTTACGCTATCCAAAACAGTGGTTTCTCTGTGCGAGCCATCAGTTTAGCGATCGGGCTGTTTTTCCATGCACTTATTCTGGCGCATTTAAAAACACGACAGATGTAAAACCCTCCACAAACTGAAGCAAAACAAAGTACCGGTAAATACACTGTCCAGTCCGGAAGCGCCATGATGACGCAAATAAACAGCACAACAACGATTGGTCAGAAGTAACAATCACCGTAAAGACTCGTATTTTCTTCTTTTTTTTTAGATCGTTCATGCATTATCAGGTGCATTGTTTGTATCAGCTCAGTCATTCTTGAGAAGTGGGACAAAACAGGGTGCAAAATTGAAAAAATAAAACCTTGTACTCAGACAAATGAAACTAAATATATATTTCTTATACGTACTAAGCTACTGAGCTATGCTTTGATACAACCTCCCAACTTTTCTCTTTTTTAACAAAATGTGCTTTTTTTTACCTTGGACTGTGTAATATAATTTCAGCTTTATCTTTAACAGCATTCAAGATGTTTTTAACATTTCAAAACACATTCTCGTGTTAGCAGGCCCCTGATATTCCCTGATTTTATTACATTTTATTGAATGTCTGACGGTGTTGACAAAAAGTGGGGACACAATTTTAAAATCTTATGAAACATGCATGTGTCATTAAAAAAACAACCTTGCTTTGATAGGAGATATTATTAAGTGTTGCTTTTGATAAAACAAGCTCTTTTTCATCATTAAAAAACATTTTTATCCATTTTATTGCATATGAATGATTGAACCCTTCTCTGTGGACACACTGTTTTAGATATAGTGAGAGGACATTAAGAAACACAGATTTGGTATAATAATGAGAAAATTAAATTGAAGGTGATAACTGTGCTAAATACATTCTATTATTAATCCCTCATGACATTTAAAATTGAAAATATTTGTAATTTTTAAAGCTAATAGCAGTTACCCTTGCTGGACCTGTTTTGTCCCACGTCTCAAGAATGACTGAGCTATTATTGGGTAATAACATTTTCATTGACAATTTTTTTTGCACATATCATATTGCATTGCACATTGCATGCATGTTTTACACAGTTTCTGTTTTACTTTTTTTTTTTTTTAAATACCTTTAACCAGGGGCTGTTTCTATATTAAGGCGATAAAATACTGTCACATTCAACCACAGTGTTAGGCTTGTTCCTTGAGTATGAGGTGTTATTCGTACCTATTCGTATGAGATGTTATTCGTGCCTTTTCTAAGGCTTAGCATGAAAAGGAGCAGTCTTCTGAAGTATGTCTGAACTAGGTGCATCACCTTACAAGACGTCTGATACATACGCCGTCTCCATGTACATCGCCTTAAACGCCAGCACATTAATGTTCAGTTTGCTTGGATGCTACAAAAAGTACGGAAACACTAAGAGGCTATGCATGATTTCTGCATGAATTGTATTTCTTTCTTGTTTCCTTGTGATCTCGACATAAAAGTGCAATTTTAACAGAAATAAAGTTGCATTTATATTAGACATTTATTAGACATTCAATCTTCAACATCAAATGAGGTGGAGAACAAAGTCGTTCTGAGCAAACATGCTTAGGTTCTTGAATTTATAACATTTGGGACGCTAATCAGCCATTTTAACTGAAAGATGAAGGCTGTAATATTAATGTTGTCCACTAGATGGAGCCACATGATAAGGAATCTTTTAAATCTAATATTTTTCAATAGGTTTCCATCCTTATGAGTTGAAACAAACGCGTTGATCTACTTCATTTGCATAACTATGGTGCGCGGACAGTATAGTTTTATATTAGAGTACATAGAAATCTTTGAAATGTATATTTATCATTACATTTTTTACTTTTATAGACCTCAATAAGACATAAAACATCTAGACAGGATTAAATACAACCCCAAATCAGAAAAAGTTTTTTTTTAAATGCAATAACATTTTGTAAAATGCAATAAAATCAAAATCTTATAATAAAATCTTAATTCTATTTAATCTTTATTTGATTGACAAAAGTGCAAAGGAAAGATTTTCAATGTTTTCACTGACCAAATAATCTGTAATTCGTAAATATACGCAAATTGGGACAGAGGCACGTTTAACACGGTGTCGCATCAACTTTCCTTTTAATTACAATGTTTAATTGTTTGTAAATCGAGGAAACTAATTGTTAAAGTTTTGCAAGCAAAATTTTTGCCCAATCTCGCTTTATACAAGACTTAAGCTGCTCATCAGTCTGTGGTCATCAATGCCTGATTGTACTTTTCATGATGGGCCATAGGCCTTCATGTTCAATATAGGAGACAGATCTGGACTGATAGCACATTCACTCTGTCTATGAAACCATGCTGTTGTAGCACATGCAGAATGAGACCTGGTGTTGTCTTGATCTAATAACCATGGACTTCTCAAGACGTCATCTTGATGGCAGTATATGTCTCTGTGCAATGCCAATATAATGCCTCTATGTCAATGGTACCCTCACACATGCCAGACACCCATGCCGTTTGCTCTGTTAAACCCCCATACAATGACAAATGTTTGCTTTTGCATCTGTCGCTGGTGAAAGTCTGGATGGTCCCTTTGGTCTTTGGGACTGAGAACTCGACATCCATTTTTCCCAGTGGACTCATCTGACCACAGCACACATTTCCACTGTCTCTTTGACTATCTGAGATGAGCTCTGTCCCAGAGAACCCGTGGCATTACTGCATAGAACTGATGTATAGCTTTCTGATGAGCCAAGCTTGACATCCTCACCTATTACCAATTTACCCTGCTTATAGACTTTTTCAAAACAGTTTAATTTGGATATTCTATAACCCTTTCACTTTTATTTTGCCTCTCTCCCAACTTTTTTTGGAGTGTGTTGCAACCATCAAAATCAACATTTGTTTATATTTACAAAACATATTTAAGTTGGTCTGTGAAAACTTTGGAAATCTTTTCTTTGTACTTTTGTCAATTAAATAAATGTTAAAGCAAATTAACAAACCACAGATTCTTAATTTCATTGCAAAACGTTTACAAAACTTCCAAACTTTTTTTTTCATGATTTGGGGTTGTATATTGCTGTCCATTTAAAATGAAGATACAATTTGCTTTTTGTAGATAATATACAGGTATTATAATATTTCTATAAAGACACACTTATTTACGGTTTAATCCCTTTAAAGAAAAATACCAATTACCCCCATTTACCAATTAGAAATATAGGGGTTCTTACAAAAAAAGAGGACCATCACATCAAGATGTACTTTTGATTGAAGAGAACTGAAGAGAGCGCTTACAGAGGTAAAATAAACATCTCCAAGCAAAAATATTATATTTGTTATTAAATGATTAAACATTTATCTGAAACATCACATGTTGTTCTTGTTGTGATTTGAATTCATGTTAGAATATTTAATAACTATTAAAAAACGTGTCTATTTTGTATTTTTTTAAGTCATCAAAATAATTGGATCATAATATGAAAGTGTACTTTGATTTTTATTCTTAGCATTTTTTTTCATTGATTTAGTTTTCACAAAACCCAAAACGTATGATTCAATGAGTTATGATGGCTTTAAGAGCTTTAAGACCACTTCCCACAATATAAAATAAAGCAGTGGCAATTTTTCATTCTTAGCTTTATTCCATGAGCAAGCAGAGTATGAACAGTGCCTTCAAGTGATGACATTTGAAAACAGCAAAATACTGAGTCAACAAATTAAAATGGGAAAAAAGATACCAGAAAATAAATAGATAAACAACTAAACGGACAGAGTGGTTGTTAAAAAAATGGATAAATATATTATATTGTAATGTGGGGTTTGGGTTTTGTTTCATGTTCATGTTTTCATGTCTTTTATTTTGGAGTTTAGTCATGGTCCTTGTTCTGTCATGTTATTCCCTTGTCTCTGTGTTATGTTCTGATTGGTTCTTTGGGTCATGTGTCATGTTCTGATTGGTTGTCCTAGTCATGTGTCTTGTTTCCTTATTAGTTGGTTCCTGTCACGTGACCCTGATTGTTTGCTATAAGTAGCCATCATGTTGCCTTTGTGCTTTGTCGTGTATTGAATGTATTTATACTGTTGTCGGTGAGTCTAGTCTGTTTATGTTAAGTCTAGTCAGTTCAAGTCAAGTCTTTGGTTGTTTGGATTATGTTTAGATCACTTTGTTTAAATAAATCTGCACTTGGATTCATCATGATGCTCGCCTAGCCGGGAACAATCATTACAGATATGTATTATAAATATTACTAGTGTTGATATTTTTTGTACAGTTCAGTGAAATGAGCCATTGTGCTTATCATAAGGAAGCCAAAAATCATATCTTTGAGAGACATGGAAAAGTCTTGCATAATAGGAAGAGTCTCAGAATACCTTTTATGTTCCACAGAAGAAAGAAAATCATACAGATTTGGAACGACATGAAGATGAGTAAATGATTACTCGGTGTATGATTACTTGGTTTTGAAGTTCTTGATTTTGGTGAACTATCCCTTTAAGTAAAATAAAAATACATCCCTTTACGTAAAATAAAATACAAGACTATAAGCATCTAAATATACTTAAGATATTACTTATTATATTGCTGGATTATAAATAAACGTGTTCATCTTTAATTTTTATTACTGTCTAATGCAGCGATGTACTTTTTAACGACGTTGGTGTCACGCCTCTGAGGCGATGTACCCTTCTCACCAGGGCTGGACTGGGACAAAAAAATCAGCCCAGGCATTTTTTGGTCCAGGCGGCCCACCACCATTTATATATATATACAGTGGGTACGGAAAGTATTCAGACCCCCTTCAATTTTTCACTCTTTGTTATATTGCAGCCATTTGCTAAAATCATTTAAGTTAATTTTTTTTCCTCATTAATGTACACACAGCACCCCATATTGACAGAAAAACACAGAATTGTTGACATTTTTGCAGATTTATTAAAAAAGAAAAACTGAAATATCACATGGTCCTAAGTATTCAGACCCTTTGCTGTGACACTCATATATTTAACTCAGGTGCTGTCCATTTCTTCTGATCATCCTTGAGATGGTTCTACACCTTCATTTGAGTCCAGCTACTGTTTTCTATTTGAATATATTTTAAAATGTAATTTATTCCTGTCATTTCAAAGCTGAATTTTAACATCATCACTCAAGTCACATGATCCTTCAGAAATCATTCAAATATTCTGATTTGCTGCTAAAAAAAAAATTATTATT